AAAAATTCTTTTAAAAGATTTTCAAGAACTTTTCTTTTAAATTCTCATTTCTTAATGAATTTAGTTCGCATTAGCTTGGAAATGAAGCGATTATTCAATAAGAAATTTAATTATGCGTTATTTCACATTTTTGATAAACTTTTTGTACATTTTTGATGCTGAATAACAATAATTTCTAAATTTTTATTTTTTTTACTTTTCCAATTACAATTGATATTTAAGGCTGCAAGAAATAACCTTAGTTAAATAACCTTAGTTCACAACTCCGTCAAACAAAATTAAATAACCTTAGTTCACAACTCCGTCAAACAGAACTTATTTGTCGTCATCCCTCCTAACTGTCCACAATGATTGTCCCGAATTCCTAAAGTTGACATTAATTATGAACACTAAGAGATAGGTTTTGAGTGAGTGAGAAAGTGAGTGAGAAAGAATTAAAAAACGGTCGTCTTTACGATTGATTAGACATATTTATTCCGTTCGGAATGCTATTTTTATCATCATCTGATTGCCAAAGCTTCACAAGTACCTAAATCAAAAAAGAAATTTAATGAAACACATAATATTGATTCATTTTCAGTTTAACAACGATTATAAGATGTGCTGCATCTAATAGTTACTTAAACGGTCTTGTGAATTCATGAATTTCCCTTTCCGTAACTCCCACTTTTCCCTGTTCCTTAGGAATTAGTTTTGCAAACTTTTTGAAAATATATTCCATATCAACTACGACGAAATGAGGAGTCAAGTTTTTTTTTCTTTTTTTACACGTTAGCTTTATTATTTGTAATTTTCAGTTATACGTTCAAGGATGATGAAATAATGAAAATTATTTAATAATTGCCAGCTCTGTAAGTATTTTATTCAATTTCATAGCCATAATTATAAATAATAAATTTTTAATATGTTCCATAACATACAGTCCCCTCATATCTATTGAAATATTATTACAACTTTGGGAGAATTTGTAGCTACTGTTGTTTAGTGAATCCTATTTATACTTCTCAATGTTACAAAACAAAGCAAGACCTTTTCATTCATGGAGTTTACTTCAGGAACTAAATCCGGATTTTCTTCCGTTGAATCGTTAAGAGTAATCATATCTTGTTCCGGATCGTTTCGAAGACCTATCTTGGATGGCACCGATGGCATCTAAAATTTTACTTATGAAACGTAAAATTCCTTGAAATTCTTGCTTATTTCCATGTATGCTTTTCATATACATCATTTTACTTACTTTATTAAAATAATTTTAGTGGAGTAAGTAATACTGCTTTACTATGTCTTATTCATCACTTTGATCTATCATTTCCAGAACGCATAAATAATGAAATGCAAAGCAATTTAGAAAATGATTCTGTAATATTTTGTCCGATCAAAGTATATTTCTTCATTGGTATAGTGATATTAAGGTATTTATCAGTAATAAAAGTGTCAGATGTATTCTCTCCATTGTGTTGATTGCAATAAACATTATGACTGGCTCAGTACAACTATATAAATATAAACATGACAATAATTATGCCTATTATATGTATTATTCCGATAACCTGAACCCTTAATACAAAATACGATTTCAAACTTAATAATTAAATGTCTGGCAACCATCTTCCGGAAAAACATCAATTGCTCGGTCAAGTTTATCAATATGTTTTTCAATTGAAATGTTTTATAAATTAGTTTTAACTTACTTCATGATGCTTGTTTTTGCAGTGAACCGCTAAATGACGACGTTCACTGCATCGTTTGTCGCATGTCCCACATGCAAAAGCAAGCTCCGAGATACCAAGATGCCGTCGACGATGTTTCACGAATGCAGCCCGATTTTTCAATGGTTTTGCGCAAACATTGCATAGAATTGAACTGTTTTTCTGCTGTGAAATGTGAAAGTTCACAAAGTTGCATAATGAATAAATCAAAAAATAAAAAGAATAAAGTGACATTAAATCTATCTTACAATCTAATCAATCTAATTAACCATCTAATGCAGCCTAACACGATATAGTGACCATTTTTTTTGGATAACATCGAAATACTATTAGAAAACTTCAAACAAATAAAGACCATCTTATTACGCATTCAACCCAGAAATGATAAAAGAAAAATAGTTCGAAACTTAAGAAATGGTCAGAATTATTAAAACTAATTTGCATTTAGGATATATTTTGATAATGATACGTCCTTACACTACACTTGCTCTTATGTAGTTTTCTGGAATGCCATTGCATTCATACTTGGGATTACAGTAAGAAGTATGAAGTAAAATATGATCATGAAGTTAAATTCACAGCAAACATATCAATGTCTAACATTTTCAGCACGATGGATATTTCGGGTCCTTTTATCAGTATGATTATTCAACTGGTTATGTGCACGTTGATTGCATTGTTGAGGATTGATTACGTTTTGCATGCTGCAAGACCATTTTTGCTATAGATACATACTTATGAAAGCAAAAGAAAAACAATAAGAGACTTGAAATGAAAATGTCTTAATAAAACAACAGTAACTCATTTCTAATATCACCTTTGTTCTTAATAAAAACTCAGTAAAATAAAAAATAACTTATTTCGGATGTACAATTACCTATTGCTCGGTTCCTTAATCTTGTCCAACATTTCTCCCGCAATTTTCTGTAGATCTCCAGTAGATGTCGGCAGATCCTGAGCAAATAAATTCAAATTTGCAACCGGACTAATTGCCAACAATGGATTAACCAACAAACTCCATAGTACATTGGTAAAAAGAGGAAGAATCAAACTAGGCTGAAAAGCATCAAATTAAAAAAAAAGGAATTTGAATGAACACTGTTAAGACATGGCTTTTGATGATAAGTTTAAACGAGATCGTATGACTAAACAAAGAGATACTGACACAACTGAAGTAAGTTTGAAGTGAAAAGAGCTTGAAGTGAATTTTAAATAAATTCAGAAAGTGAATTTTAAATAAATTGGTAATTACATGAATTGGTATTATATGGCTGAATAATAAGGATAGAGGTATGTTTACTAATTAATTAATCAATCGTTTATTGCATTTCTTTCCAATATTATAAGTAATTATCTTTGATACATACATTATTTTTGATGATAAGTTGAAACGGAAAATTATGGCTGTTTAAATCAGAACAAACCTGCTCTTCGAGGAAATGTTTGAGAGCATCTTTGGTTGCATTGTACTGAATTTCATATACAAGCATTAATTCATTAAAAAGAGGTATTTCGAGCAAAGATGCAAAATCAACCATTGATTGATTGAGAAGCTAAAAATAAAACAATTCTATATAAATATAGCACAAAAAGTT